TTTACAGAAGGACTATTTAAGAGCACATATATTAACGTTAGGGACCATTAGTGATACAAAAAAACTTTAAGGATGCAATCTAATAATTTCGCAAACGTCAGGGACGTTTTGTGATAAAAAGCCTTGACAAAATTGAAAACTACAAGGATATAAATTAACAAAATTAAAACTAAAGGGACCAAAGTGGTAAAACTAGAAAGCTATAGGCACCAAAACAAGATTAAAGAGCTATGGGTACACAGAAAAGCTAGATTCACCAAATCTGTACATCAAAGTTGTTCATCTAATAATGTGACAGATGTGATGATGGAATAAAAGCAGTTGAACTACAAAAGCCTCACTAATTTTCAGCCCTGTGTATGGGATATTTGTTGACATGCATCCTAGTGCATGCAAATAGTGAAGAATGCACTCTTATTCTTCATTGTTTATTTGTAATTCTAGACTTGAGCTTACAAAGATTGGAAATAAAAAATCTGCAGGCTTCAGGGATGGAAAACATTTTGACCAATTGGGAAAGAAACAGGAAGGTACTAACATGAAAAGCAACCCCAATTGCATGTCCCATGATTCTGACGAAGTGCTGATGGGGCATGACAGCCAAAATCCCTGTTACGAAGGATACTGCAGTGAATTGCAGAGCAAAATATGTAAGAGCAGCAGCACTTGTGAAATAGTAAACATAGGAGGACTTGTTGCAGTTAACAGCTCCCCAGAACAGAAGGCAAGCTGCAATTATTGAGGAAGTCATGGCACTGGTGTCTGCGATGATGAAGAGTTTGAGATATTTGCTTGATTCCAGAAGAGCCACCCCTTTGTCTGGACCAATATTGTTGTTGTAGCCTCCAGGCATTGTGAAGGCCGCTGTAAACGTCACAGTTGTGATAAGTGTTGCAACCATTAAAAGGGTCTGCCCCATTTGTTTGTAAGTTTGCACTGCATTGGCTTCTTCTTGGTCTGCTCTTGGGAGAATCCTGATGCTATCTAACCAAGAAGGCGGTGTCCGGAGATGTCCACAAATGCTTGGGACTATATTCTGCTAATAAATTGATTAAGAGAAACAATGTCCATAAGACTCAAAGTTGTAGTTTGTTAAGCATTAATAACCCAATTTGGGAGATTGATTATGTATTTAGTTACTGCTCTAGTACTCACTCTGGGAGATGTAATTTCTTTGATTGACCTATCAATGTCAAATGCTGTTTGTCCATATTTGTTCTTGGATCTCGGATTCACTCTTCTGTCCCACTTCAAGTAACTCAGAATCCAGGTTTTTCTTTCAATGGTGGCTAGATGCAAAGGCGTATTTCCATCAAAATCAGGCTGGTTTATGAGCTCCTCCAGCTCTTCTGTTTCTAGTATATACCTGACCACATTTGCGTGGCCACCAACAATGGCCATATGAAGAGCATTTCGTCCATAGGGGTCAACAAGTTCTCCCGAATCTGGGCAATGCCGAACAATCTCTCTAATCACACTGGTATGACCTTTGCTGGCTGCAACATGAATTGGTGAGAAACCCTGTTTATCCAAAACATATGCTATCGAAATGTCGAGTTCTAGTAATCGTTGAACTGTTCTATGGTCTCCAAGGGATGCTGCATAG